ATTGTAACATACCTCTAAATATCAGACCTACAAATTATCGCTAAAATGTTACATTTTGTGATTATATTGAGGTGATTCCTTGTGAAAATCCAAAGAAACGTCCAAAGAAACACGATCGAAACCATACCTTAATTATAAGTATCATATAAAAATATTAACTTCCAACGAGAAACAAACTGAAAACCGGTACATATATTTTATTTGAAAATATATATACAAATTCTTAAAATGATGACCAGATAATATAAGGGCCAATGCAAAATAATACTGGAATGGTTATTTCAGTTGTCCGTGAACTGCAGATACTATTTTGTCATTCACATCGTTAATTGTAAGTAACTCAAATAAACAAATTAAGCGATTCATATATGAAATTCAATTTTCTCTTTAGCTCATGACAAGGAATACATCTTTTAAAAAAGTTTGAGCAGATAACACTGATTATGTTGACAAGATTTTCCAGTGTTAGTGAGAAATTTTATATCTTGATAGGTTTTTTATCTGTCTCTTATACACATCTAGATGTGTATAAGAGACAGGGCAACCCCCTAATTTAAAGTCCAATTTAACCTCATCTAAACTCCCCTCCACTAAAACCGATACATGGCAACACACAATGTAACAACTCTAAATGCCAATTATGCGACATCATCAATACTGACAGCTCATTCACTCCACCAGGGACACAAATAACAATCCGGCCACCAGTACTGAATTGTAATTCGCCCAATATTATATACCTCATATACTGCAACAAATGCAACAGGGGAAACTATGTTCGCGAAACTGGTCTCACTTTCAGATCTAGAATGAACAACCACAAATCATCTATAAGACACAGACTCAACTGCCCAGTAAGTGCACATTTTAATTCACCTAATCACACCATAAATGACTTTAAAGGCTATAATAATAGGTTGCAATTTTAAATCCACACAAGAACGACGTAACGCAGAAATGAAATGGATAATCCGGTTAAAATCTCACATTAAGGGACTAAATAAGGACTTAGGCTCTATATGTGATTATGCCTTCATACGCAATAATTCACTATGAATACAGTATCTAACAATATATGCTATATATTATTTCTACTTATGTACATTTTATTATATTCATTGATTTCCGAACTGTATTTAATAGTCATCATATCATGCGTTATATTATATTATTTAAACTCATACATATACCTTTACATCTCTACAATTTATTTTCTATTCCACAATTGTTTTAATTACATAGGACCATATATTAATCTTACTATGTTTTATTTCCTTTTACTGTTTACTGTAGTTAAAAATGTCTTAGCATTAAGCTGTTTCAATGGCACCGTCAATAAACTATCGCTTACATAATCATTGTACAATATTGTATTTAAATTTTAATATTGATTTGACATTTTGAGGGTTAAATTTAATTTGTAGAAGCCAGTAATTTGTTACTGTTCCTATTTGGTTCACTCAATGAAACAAAAATACCGCTTTACTTACCAAAACTCATTGGCATAATGCCGCCTAAAATGAGATACCATAGAAGATTGAAAAACAGGCGGATGAAGAGTATAGTTCCTTTCACCACCTTATATTTGTGTTTAATTTCGGTCAACGTTTCACGAACTTCTTGAACTGTATCGTCAATTTTTCTAATCAACTAAATGAAAAATAAACAACAACAACAACAAACATAAGAAGGGCTATTGATCAGTATAAAAAAAATGTTTAAGCTTAATAATGCATGTACAATGTAAGGACAATATTGAATCTTATGATACTTATTTAAATCGGTCGTTAGGGCAGGCGGTGTAATATGCTGTTTGTATAAGCGAAAATTCCTGGGAGCGTTCAAACACTCACGTCAAAATGTGAACGCCTAAAAGTCTGGTTGTACTAAGTGCATATATTAAGGAATATTCTCAGAAAGATGGCTGCACATTGTGCACGATTGTCCATAAATCAAATGCGGACCAGGAAGCAAAAACGTCTAAAATTATTTAAGTATCTGGTTCATATTGGCGATTTTATTGAGTCTTATAACATTTGCATTAAAATTTAATTGAATTAGTCGAGTTTGTAGAAGTATATACAGTATTTGTCATTTTATTATCGTAACCTCAAATTTATATTTTTCAACCATTGACTTCATAACATCTTGTAATTTATTAGATGGAGTGTTGTGTAAGTCCACAGTTGCTTCAAAATCCTGGATGGTCATATTCATAATTTTAACAAGAAATGCTTTAACTCCATGCTCTGAAAAATATAATATTATCAATTAAAAGTACACGCAAATATAAAAACAGAAGAAGGTTTAGAGGAAGTTTAAAAAACAGAACAAGCTACAGAAATGACATTGTCACTAGTTTTGCTGTATAAACTTTTTATAATTAATTTGATAAAAAAGGAAATATCTAATATACAACATAGAAACATATAAAAAAAATGTATAAAACACACCTGTCAAGCCTCCTCCAACTGCTCGCAGGTCACCATTTATACTACGAGGAAGAATACTAGTGTCTGGGACAATGGCAGCGAACATTTCTGAAACAGAACATTTTAAATTGCTTGTTTATTTATTATTCTATAATGTCTTATTATCGCCATATCGTCTTTTAATAATTTCAGAATTTCAAAATGGATATATATATATATATATATACATACATATAC